TGATCGTCTTCCTTCAGGCCTCGCCTCAGTGCCGTAACTGCATGCGGGGGTGACCTCGTGTCCTCCTGTGTGTCCATCACCTTCTGCACCTAATGAAATGAACAGTGCCTGGGCGAGTCTGCGTTGAACCAGGCCCTTAGCGTTTAGCACGCCGAAGGCCAAGAAGCGTGGGTTTTCAACATAGTTATCCCAGAGTTTGAATTGTTTTCAATTCAAATCTAAAGTTAAAACCTTCCTGAGAGCTTTAAAGGAACTGAGTGAAAAGGCAGAGCTGAACATTGCAGCGTTTTCTAGAAACGGAGTGAGTTTTCCCACATCCCCCGGGGCAGTGTGTTTAGGAGCCATAAACCGACCAGCCACATCTTACCCAGCATCACCGTCTTGCCCATCGCTGCTCTGAGATGGAGAGAGAAGTGGAGGTTCACCCTCCAGGGCGGCCACAGGCCCTCCCACGTCCCTCCGTTAGGCGGCCCCAGGGCGGGCGGCCGAGCGTGTGTGTGGCCGGGCGAGTGAGCATGTGCCGGGCGCCGGGCCTCTGGGGGCGTCCTCACGTGTCTCCTTGCTTTTCTTACTCAAGGCCTTGTTCCCGGTCACCTGAAGCAGGCGGTTCACACCACTTTCCCTGTTGCTTTCCCACTTGCTGTTACTGTGTTGATTTCCCGGTAGGTTCTGTCCTGCTGGCGCCTACAGCTTCCTGTCTAACCGACTGTCCTCTCTCCCTGACTGTGCCCCTGGCTCTCGGGGTGTCTAGCTCCCCCATTTTCCACGGCTGTGTGAATGAGCGCCTGGCCGACCGTACGCCCTCCCCCACTTTTTCCACGGCCGATTCCGACATCACGGAGCTGGCTGACGAGCAGCAGGATGAGATGGAGGATTTTGATGACGAGGCGTTCGTGGACGACACCGGCTCTGACGCAGGGACGGAGGAGGGATCGGACCTCTTCAGTGACGGGCACGACCCGTTTTACGACCGATCCCCTTGGTTCATTTTAGTGGGAAGGTTGGTGAGGTTCTGTGAGAAAGGCAAAAAGGGACCAGCTCTTGCTCTAAAGAGGCTCCTTGTGCAATTTCAGGTGCCCTCACTGTCGCCACTTAGCGTTGGGCACCTGCCCTGGCTAGGACAGCCCTCGGCGGCATCTGAGCGGCCTCAGCCTGCGGGGGCAGCGGGCGGCCGGGCGAGCGCGCCCGAGGACCCTGCACTTAGATCTGCCAGGCGTTTTGTCCGGAAGGCGGCAGCCCCGGGAGAGGAAGGAACTAAGCTTTAGTGCGAGTTCGGATGCGCATGGCGCCGTTACAGTGGGCGGCGCAGGCGGGGGCGAGGCGGGTGCGGCGGGCCGGGCCAGGGAACGCCCAGACAGAGCGGACTTGGCAGGGTCCGGGGCCTTCTGGGCTCAGGCACACGGACACCCGGTTTCCTGTGTGGGAAGCGGGTGCCTTTCTGTGGCCATTTGCACCCAGCCAGTCTGCAGACCTTCGGCCTCGCCCGTTCTTACCTAGAGTGGCCATTCTCCTACGCTCTGCAGTGGAAGCTTGTTCGTGCTCCAGAGCCGCTCGTGGGAGGCCTGGGCCCCACCTGAGCCTCTGGCTCGGGCTGCCGCGGGCAGAGCCCCGTCAAGTCCCGTCCGGGTCTGTCTGCAGCGGGGATCGCGCTGCAGTGACCCCTGCCCTGGGCGCAGCAGCACGGCGCTCACCGGATTAAGTCCAGGTTTCAGGGTTTAGATTTGGCCTCGGTGGCGCCTTGGAATCAGTGCTGAGTCCTTTAACAAGCAGAGTTGTGCCAGCGTTGATGGGAAACAGCAGCCACCCACTAGGCGCAGCAGGGAGGGACATGCAGCCTAGCCCCAGCCCGCGGCGTGGCCGGCGACCCAGGGAGCACTCAGTAAATAACGCTGGGGGTGACCGCAGTCCTGGAAACCGGCAAGGGAGGCCCGCGGCAGACGCCCGCGTCACGCCCAGGGCCCAGGCCTGCCGGCGGAGGGCTCTGGTGCAGGCTCCCGCGAATCAGCGCGGAGAGGTGACGTGACCGTGACTCTTGTTCCTGCTGGTGTGTGGCCGGGAGAAGGTGCGCAGTCTCGGGGGAGCTTGTACATTGCTGTCGAAGGTGAGACAGCGGCCCCAGGTGCCAAGACGTGCTGCGTGTTTTCTGGCCGTGGCCTCCGGCACACGTGCATCATGCTAAGAGGGTGGCGCAAGACCCACGCTCCCTCCCGGAGCGGCCGGGCCGTGCCCACAGCTGGAGCTCTCCGGGCTCGGCAGGCCTGGCGCCCCAGCCCCGTGGTGCTCTCGGAGGAGAGGCGTAAGGCGGCCTGAGGGAGGGTCATCGTCCGCACGCACGAGAGCTGCGCAGAGGTGCCCATGTGAAGCAGTTACACGGGAAATGAAGTCTGAATCCTACTTAACGTGGAAGTTCAGTCGCTTGAGATACGTCTGTCGCTGTCTCTCCAGTCTCGTTCGTCTTGAGCGGGTCCGGTTGGAGTCTGGCATCAAGCTGTCAGCTCTCCTCAGATGTCCAGGCGAGATGTGTATGACCACGGCTCGGGGCGGCCTCTCCTCCCAGGCTCCAAATCCGACGTTGCCTTTAAGAGGGAGGCGTAGAGGAGCGGTGAGCACAGCGCCGTCGGCGGCGCTCCGGGTCGGGCTTCATCGCCGCTCGGCTACGTCCTCTCCCACCGGCGAGACGCGGAGCCGTGACCGGGGTTGTAGCTCAGCAGAGCCCCCCCGCCCCCGTACTCGTGAGGTGCAGGCGTGGGTCTCCCCGGTGGCACAGAACATCAAATCCGATTTGCTTGTAAAAAATTCTGGTTTCTTGTGAAATTCCACTTGTAGTTGTTGTTTCTGGACCTTGGCTGCCTCTGCTGAATTTTTTAATGAAAATTAAAAGAGCTTGTCCCTTTAGCTGTTTTCTCTTGGCATGCTGGGATGTTATCAGCCGTCCATCGCGACTCAGAATGAAAATGTGAAACACTGAAGCTAGTCTTCTGGGTTGAGAGAGGGCAAATGATGTCTATTCTGTGGCCTAAGCACCTGAGCTGACATTCTTCCTTTAACGAGACCATCATTATGCTGATTTTCCCTTATCTTTATGTTCAAACGTCTGTTTCCATTTTTGGTGTAACTTCACAGAACTTTCTACTAATGCCGCTCTCCATCTTCCCCTCCTGTCCTCCTCCAGTCTGCTAGCTGGAAGTCCACTAGGACTCGAGAAGGCAGAGAAGGATAAAAACGCCAGCTTAGGGAACTTCAGGAGGACGCTGCCGTTTTGGCAGGGGCTGAGGGCCCAGGTGGGGGCTGCGGTCACTTGGGGCCCCTTGCCACAAAGTGGTCGGGACCCCTTTTCCAAAAAGGGGAAATCTGTGGGAATGTTCCCCATTCGCCCACATCAGGAATGGTCAGTGCCAGGGACAGAAAGGAGATCCCCATTTCCACGTGAGCGCTGAGTGCTTCGTGGGGGGGTCTGAGCCCCGTGTGCAGTGCCTGTCCACAGGTGAGCCGTGTGCAAACTAAAACCAGGGGTTCCTGGGTGCGAATAATTATTTTTAAGCATGAAAATATTGCTATAAAAGTAAGTGTAAGTAGGATCTAAGCCTATTCCCAGTGGTTAATACCCACCACGAGCACAGCTTGGATTGGAAAGCCGCCTGGATGAGGCTGGCCGGCGGTGCCTCTCGGCCTCCGGTGTAACCCAGATTTCTGGAAAACTTTCCAGCTACCGGAAGGTAGAGGGGCCCTCGGTCTCCCATCCGCCTGGCCTGCGAGCTGTCCAGCTCCCCCCCCCCCCCGCAGCTACCCATGGAGTCCCCTTACCCACTCAGGGGCCGGCCGTCTGCAGGCAGTGGTGGGCAGCCCCAAGCGAGCTTCCCTCCAAGCCTCGGGAGCTTTAGCCAGCGGGGGAGACAGGCAGGTTAAGTACCATGTCCTAGCGGGGACGGATGGCGTGTCCGGGCCTGTAACTCGGGGGACACGGGGACACCTGCGGAGACAGCGTCCAGGCGGAGACCCAGGGTGTGATGTCAGAGCCCAGGCGCCCCGTTCTGGGAGGGCGTGGGCAGGGCCCAGGCCGGGCTCCGCCCGTCTCGGCTTTGGCTTTTAGCTTCTGTCCCAGGCGTTGCTGTTTGCGAGTCTTGTTGATAAACCTTCTCAACGACTTTTCAGTTTTTAATTTTTGAACAACAAAAATTTGACTCTGGAGCAGACTGAAGGGGACTGGACCTCCTCCCATCTGGTTTAACGTTCATTTGCAGTTTTTTGTTTTTTGTTTTTTTTGGTTACAGTTTTCATTCATGTTTTATTAACATTTGTTTTCCTGCGGCGTAGTTTTGTCTCTTTTCAGAGCAGCTTTCGTTACTTTGAGTTGAAATCCCAAGAATCCATTTCACCTTCTTTTTCTCTTTGCCTTAATGTATATCTCAGAGCAGGACAAGGTGCAGGCAGGCCAGGCTTACGGGTCACGTTGGGCTCTGTTTCATTTCTTGATGCAAATGTTCAATCATTGTCTTGTCTTGCGGTCAAAGACCAGCCTATACCAAGCGGAGAGGGGGCAGTGACAGTGGGAACTGGGTTCTCTTTCCCCCCGTTTCGTGGCGTGAACACGTAGCGGAAGGCAGTGCTTTCTTTGTCACGTTTTTGAAAAGTCAATGACTACAATCCAGTGAAAGAACAAAAAAGAAGACAAGTGTGCCAGGACCTAGCCAGTTCGTTTAGAAGAGAAACTGTTGGGCTTGTAACGTCTGTAGATGCCTCTGCGAGCCAGGCTTTGACCTCTGGGTGTAAATGCGACCCGGAAGGGCCAGCTCTCTCCTCCCTTGCACTTACCCTGACGCCCACCAGTCCGCTGTCAGCTTGCTGCTCACAGACTTCTGCCCACACAGGCTCTGCCCACGTGTGCCAGCCACCAGCTAGAGATGGCTGCCACTTCTCAGAGTAAGATAAAGACCCCTATTGCCGTGACTCGAGCGCTGTCTCACACTTGACTGTATTCCCGTCACCTTTTCACTTGTCCCCTGATTTCTGTTTTATCTGCGGGAAAACCAGGCCAAACCCTTTGCGGGTCTTGACACCCGGAGGCCCCGCTCTGTGGCGCTGTGGGCCCTACCCCTCCACCCGCCACCGCGCACAGTTCTCAGCGGTGTCTGGACAGTGCTTCCAGTGGTCACTGTCCAACAGGGCAGCTTGGTGTAAGCTGGTCTTTGTCAGCCCTCGCCCAGACATTTGCATTTGTGTATCTGGCTCTGCAGCGGGACTGGTCGGGGAGACAGGCAGAGGGCCGGCGCCACAGCCAGCTCAGGCTCGGCGGTGCGAGAGCGCCCCAGGTCGCGGGGTGCTCAGGGGTTTGTCTCCCGCCCTCTGTCCCCAGGGCCTTTGTCTACCTGAGCAACCTGCTGTACCCCGTGCCCCTGATCCACCGGGCGGCCATCGTCAGCGAGAAGGGCGAGGTGCGGGGCTCGCTGCGCGTGGCCCTGCAGGCCATTGCAGGTAGGTGTGAGCCCGTGGGAGGGCAGGCTGTGGCCGCTGCCTCCCCCCAGGGGGCCGCTGCTTCCTTCCCGACTATTGTCCAGTGTCCTGAAGAGAAGTTTAGTTGGGCTCCTGCTATTGTGGAATAACAGGATAAAGGGATTTCCGTAAAGTCATTTGCATTTTTAAGTAACACAGGGAACTAACAGCCTCTGAAGAAACAAGGGATTTCCGGGTGGGAGTGTTGGCCTGGCCGAATTTCCCTCAGGGCGCTGCTGAGTGCCTGCTGTTAGGGCGCAGATGGGGGGCACCCTGGGAGCCCAAACTTGCCTGCCATGAGCCATCACAGCATCGAGACAACGCCCCTCCAGTGTGTGAGACCGTCAGCGGGAAGGAGCTGAGAACGATGAGTATGCTAGAGAGAAGGGAAAGAACACATTAAATAATTTTCACACCAGACACCCAGTCACCCAGCCCCTCGTGGGTGCGTGCCCAGCCGGTCGGGGTTGGCCCGAAGCAGGGGTGCTGGGCGCACAAAACCTGCCAGGACCCGAAGGCTTGTGGGGACTTGTGGGAAAGCGGCAGAGGGGCCGGCAAGTCTGGTAGCAAAGGGCACGTCAAGATGAAGGCTGCCGCTGGCAGCCGCCCACAGGCCTCCCGCACGTCTCTCCAGCGTCCCCTTCTGCATCCGAGTACCTGGCTCCAGGCCAAGGCCGAGAAGCCAGCGCTGTCTTTGGCCTTCTGCACCTGCGCCTTCCAGGGCTCCCACGCCCAGTCCCGCCTTCCTTGGGGGGGGCCTCCCTGCTCCGCCCAGGGCGCTGTCTCCTGCCTGTGGACCAAGATCCTGAGGCCCCGTGCTGTGAGCGGCCTGGCTCTGGGGAAGGAATGTGGCGTCGCCCTGGCCGTGCTGTGCTCAGCGACGTCTCGGCCCATGCGCTCGTTCATCCGCAGGACCGAGTCTGGGGAGCGCGGGGGCGCCCACACACGCCCTGCTGCGTGTTTCCGGCGCTGGCTGGCTGTCACTGACGGCAGCTTAGCCAGGTGAAGGGATCAGCGTTTCTAGGTGTGACATGCTGAACAACTTCACGATTAAAATGACTCTTTATTCCCGCTTTCGTGCGAGCTGAGGGGTTGGTCAGCTCACCCGAGTGGACTCGGAAGCGGCCCTGTGCCCCGGGGACCCCGAGAGCCCCCTCCTCCTCACCCCATGTCACCCTGTCCTTGTTTTGCTTTTGTCTTCTCTGCTTAGCGGATGAAGAAGCTCCTGATTATGGCTCTGGAATTCGACAGTCAGGAACAGCCAAGATATCTTTCGATAACGAATACTTCAATCAGGTGAGACCCCTGGGGAAGAGGAAAGCCTTGTGGAAGAAGCAAGCGGGGGTGCTCCTCGGGGGTGCTCGGCCCGGGAGAGCAGTTTCCGGGCCTGGGAGAAGAGCTCGTCCTCGCTGGCCGCGGGAGGCGGCGTCTCGCTGACCCAGGGCAGGTGGGGAGCGGGGTGTGTGCGGCCTGTTGCGCCTTCCGTCCCGCTCCGCACCCACGTGGCTTTACAGTCTGTCGGGTCAGTGCGAGAAGCTGGCGGACACGTTACGGGGCTCGCCCTGCCTTGTTTTCAGAGTGACTTTTCCTCGGCGGCCATGACTCGCTCCGGGCTGTCCCTGGAGGAGCTGAGGATCGTGGAGGGCCAGGGCCAGAGCGCCGACGTCATCACCCCCCCGGAAGAAATGAACCGAATGAGTGACACGGGTGCGTGGGCTGACCGCGGGCCGGGCGTCTTCAAGGAGAAGGTGACCCTCGCCAAGGGGCTGGGCGCCCTCCGCACTAGAGCAGAAAGAATGTCGTCGTGGCCCCCCACCCGCCCCCACCCCACACCCCACCCTCGGGCCGCACCTGAGCCCCGTGTGTGCTCACTTGGCCCCTCAGATTTGAAGTCAGGCTCATTGCTGGACGGGAAGATGGTGATGGAAGGGTTCTCGGAAGAGATCGGCAACCACTTGAAGCTGGGCAGCGCCTTCACTTTCCGCGTGACTGTGCTGCAGGCCAGCGGGATCCCGCCCGAGTACGCGGACATCTTCTGTCAGTTCAAGTAAGCCGCGGCCGGCGCGGGCGTGGCGGTGGGGGGCAGCGAGGCAGACGCTGAGGGGATGGGTGCGCTTGGCGCCAGGTGGGCCGGGAACAGGAACCTGCAGGGCTGGGGTGGAGGGCGGCCTCGCACCCTTCCAGAAGGTTCTGTGGGGGGAGCAGCGGGCGGGGCGGGAGAGGGCTGCCGCGCCGTGGGGTCACCTCCGGGCAGGGATCGCACTCGCACTGAAGCGGCCGCAGCTGGCTTGGGGTGCTGTGCCTGACCCGCTGTGCCGCCAGGGAGGGCCGCGCTTGCTGACTCTAAGTGCTTTATGCTGAAGATTCCGTTGATGGAAAGTGTAAGACAGCGACGGGCCAGCAGCCCCGCCCGCTCGCCACACTGCCCGCGTCTGTGCCCGCGGAGCGTGGTGGTGGCAGGGTCCGGTCACTTCCGGTCACTTTTGAAATAAATACTGAGCGACAGAAAGTGTTTTTGAGGAAACGTGAATAATGCGGCTCAGCTAAAGACTGGCGGGCGCGTGCGGGCCCCAGGCTGAGCTCTTGAGACAGCTCTTGATGGACGCTTTCCTGAGAGGTCCGCCTGTCTTCTTCTCTTCCTAAGCTTTTTGCATCGCCACGATGAAGCCTTCTCCACTGAGCCCCTCAAAAACAATGGCAGAGGAAGTCCCCTGGGCTTCTATCACGTGCAGAATGTAAGTGGCCGGGACGAGGCTGCCCACGTTTGCTCTGGGGGGTGGAAGCGTGTGGTTGAGGAGTCTCCGTGGGGGCCCCCACCTCCTCCACCACGATGGGGAAACCCTGAGCCCTGGGTTCTGGGACTTGAGGGAGGGCAGATGGGGGGGGGGGCAGGCCAGCGTGAGCTGCAGCTCTGACTGACAGTGGGCCCCGGCATGGGCAGGAACGCCCAGCGTCACTGCTCCCTGCCTAGGGAGGAGCACGCCCGAGTTCTAGTGCTGTCCTTTGAGCCACAGGCGTGTCGTGGCAAATACTATAGAAACGATCAGATTCCTTCTGCGCTCAGTTAGGGCAGTAAGAACGGAGTCTGCGCCTCTGGCAGGCTGTGTCCGGGCGCCGGGCGCCGGGCCTCGCCGCGCGGGCTCAGAGCGGGCCCTCCCCACGCCCCCGCGGCTGCCACCGACCCGAGGGCTGTTTTCGCCCTAAGTCGCGCAGCCCTCACCTTTTCTCCGTGGGGACCCCGCCTTCCCTGTCACCGCCGGGGTGACTGAAGCTCAGAGCAGTTAGTCGCTCGTCAAAGTCACAGACCCCGGAGACGGTTCGAGCCCAGAGACCATCTCCTTCAGTCTGTCATTTTCTTGCCAACCACGTGTGGCCAGTAAGTGCCAGAGACAGACAGCTCCGAAAACAGCAAGCAGAGACGAGGCTCACGGCCCCTGGGCGTCTGGCCACGCCAGGGCAGGTGTGGATGCCGGCCGGCCGGCGCACGTGGGCTGCGCTTCACCCGGGGCAGCGTGCAGGGTCGCGGCTGCGGTGGGCGTCACCTGTCTCTGCCAGCCCGACACTCGGTTCCTCTTTCTGGCGGGGGTGGCCCTGGCCGGCTGGACGGCAGGAGCAGGCAGGGGAGCTCCTCGGGGCGGCCCCTCAGTAAGCAAGGGGGTCGCCCCGCACTGTGTCCCGCCGGCGCCCGCCCGCTCCCCGCGCTGCAGTTAGTGCTGGAGCAGAGGTGCCCCGAGGGGAGGCGGGCCAGGCTCATGGCGGGTCTTGGATGCCCAGAGCTTGGCAGAGTCACCAGAATGAAAACGCAGGGAGGCCTGCTGGGGCGGGGCCACGAGGCCACCGCCCGGGGCAGGCCGGAGCGCTGGGGAGCAGAGCTGTGATCTCCCCGACACCTTCCCGCTCTCGCCGGACTCTTCCTCCCTAGATCGCCGTGGAGGTCACAGAGTCGTTCGTGGACTACATCAAAAACAAGCCCATCGTGTTCGAAGTCTTTGGACATTATCAGCAGCACCCACTTCACCTGCAAGGACAGGAGCTTAACAGGTCTGGGCCGAAGGACGACGACTGGGGTGGGCGCTGCCAGCTTGCTGTGCGGGTCGCGGTGGCCGGGGCTGGGGGCAGCGGCGGGCACGGCCGTGGGCAGCACCCGTTTCCTCGTCCGAGACGGCGCCACCGTCTTCTCATCGCTGATGCTAGGTCAGGCACAGTGGGTTCTGCCCAGGCCGCCTTGAGAACCATGTTTGAGTAGGAGGAGACTCTTCGGTGGGGTTCAGGGCCGAGCGACAGGGACGTAAGGTGAAAGTCGCGCCTGTCCCTGGCCACCCGAGCTCTAACGATGCGCGGACTCCCCGGAGACACCGTCGGTGCGGACAGCCGCGCCGGGCTCTCGGGAGATGCAGAGAGAGGTCACAGGGCCCCTCACGTCAGTGCCGGACTGTCCCTCCGTCCGGGCCGCGAGGCCAGAGCTGGAAGTGCGGGCGACCTGCTCCGAGGGCTGCGCCGCCCTGGCCCGGCCCCGCCTCACGGCTCCCCCTTCCTTTCCAGCCCCCCGCAGCCCGGCCGGCGCTTCTTCCCTCCGCCCATGCCGCTGTCCAAGCCAGGTGAGCCCGCGCCTCTCCCGGAAGGACCGAAGGACCGTCCAGTCGCGAGCGTGTCAGGTTCCGCGTCTGCGCCCCGCTTTGTCCCTGTTTCTGGCAGCAGCCAGACCCTGGGTCCCCTTTAAGGCAGGACGCCGCCGGCGCCTCGGCTCGCCCCTGGCGCTGCGGGGCCGCGCCGGCCTCTGCTCCGTGCCCCTGGTCACTCGCGGCCACCGACCGGCTTTTCTTTGCCTGTTGAGTTTGGGCTTCGTGTTCAGGCTTGGATTTGCCTTTACGGTCACCCTTCCTCCCCGCCGCCGCGCTCCCCTGCTGTCCTCGGCGTGGGAGACGGAGCTGCCGGGCCACGGCGGCGGTGGCCACGCG